AACTGCAAGAAACTGAGTTAAATGTTAATCAAAATTTTCATGTACAAAGCCTAATTTGTTGTTTTGAGAGGAAAACATAGTTGTACAAACAAGTTTATAAAATGCAATTGTAAAAGTTATTTATAACAACAATTGCCATTTTCTTTGTTAAAAATTCCTCAAAGATTCCTCCGTTAATCACACTGAACAAAAAAACCCCAGCATACTTCCCCCTACAAAAGAACAAATCTTGGTTAATTTTTCCTTCCAGGCATCAACAATCTTGGGTACTCCACCTGGGATTTCAATCCTTTAATAATCCTTCAGGGAAGCAGCTCTAGGATTTATATAAATTGTGAGACACAAATATTTAAAGAGCACCCCCCTGCACCAATCCACACACTTTTTCAAAGAAAAATATGATTTTGTGGTTACTAGCTCAACCTGAAATAGTTAGACTAACCAAAATACTTGTAATTTAATTAAATATGTAAGTAAGCTAGTGTCAAGTAAATAAGTCAGTGATATGAAAAATACTCCACCTAACTCATTGATTAGATATGCTGCAACTATATAGGCAGCCCAAGGGCCCAGTTCATGCAATGTCCTGGTACATTCCTCAAGTGCCCACTTTGTAAAACCATGTGCATCATTAGACACTTTACAGTCTCCAGGAAAATCCATTCCTTGCGTTAACACCTGTGATAGGTGTTGAATTAGCTTATTTAAGTCCTCACTAATTTCATTTGAGTAGCTTAGGACCTGTTCTTTGGGTTTAGTGGCAAAGTTTTCAACATCCTCATCACAAGTTGTGTCACACTTGGACCACATGGTGCATTCCAGCTGTTTTATTTCTGATTCGATTCTGAGTAGCTTTACTTTCCCGTTCACCACAGAGGCTGTTAGACCCATAATTTTGGGTAATGGAGTTACTTCAGTTGGTTTTAATTGTTTTGATCTATTGAAGAACTCCATTATCTGCGCATATGGATGATTCTTCCTTGCATGATGGCATTCATCAAAGATCAGGAGATTCACTTGTGAAAGCTTTGTGAAGCCAGCTGATAGTAGGTTAAGAAATACCTGGGCTGTCATGACCAAAACGTTGTTGTCATTGAACTCGCTTTCCCATCTCGACTTTTCCCAGCCATCAACACCCATCTCTCCCACATAACACTTGACTCTCAGGTCTGTATGATTTGCGATCACTTTTGCTTGCTGACTGGCTAACAGAACTGTCGAAAGAAAGAGGAAGGTAGAGTTAGGGGGGCAGTGCGTGCGTACTTGATGCGCTTAACTCATTGTTTATCAATGGCTTTAATTTCAAAGTCGTAGTCAGCTGAAATTTAACATTAATGTTGATCTTAGACCACTATCTGCAAAAAAAAAAAAAATGTCTAAATTTTCACATTCAAGCAAAATCAAGGAAAGGAAGCATTCGTTTCTTCTGTTTCTGATGAATTGCACAGCCGTTTTCAAAGAGCCGCCATTACCCCTCTCCACACATTTATGGTCAGAAAACAAAAATGGCAGATTAGACGAAATATTGTCAAACCGAGTGAACGTTCATGGATTTGACAATTTCCGCGAATTTCAATGAAATTCAGCTTGACGGAATCGACGATTTTGACGAATTTTAGTTAAAGTTGTCAAAACGAATCAGCTCGGCAGATTTTATGAATTTTTGTTATTTTCGTTCTTGCATGAACATATCTTCTCCACATCCCATTTATATCCCCGACCCGATCCCGCCCTGAAATCTCGTACTCCTCCTCCAAGGTAACGCTGATCCAAAACATTCGAAATCTCTCATATCCACACATAGCCTGACACTCTGAATCATACCTGTATTTACTAGGAAGAAAGTTCTTCGCCCGTCGTCTTTATGCATGTACTTTCCTCTTACTTCATGAGCGAGTTCTTTTATAAGCATGACACTTATAAACGTTTTTCCAGTTCCTGTACCCAGACATACAATCGTGTTCCTTTCCTTTGCCCGCTCC